AATGGAACGATCACCTTCACGGCGTTCCGCAACTCAGTTGGGATGCCCACTATCGGCTCGTTCCGTCCCGGGTGCGTTTCAATTCCCTGTACTGCATAATTGCCACCGTGGGCGTGCGATTCATCACAATCCCTTGAGGGTACGCCGAACGCGTCTGATAACTTCCTCCTTGCCCACCGAAGCTCCTACCAATCCCAGGGCCTCCCATGCTCGCGGGCGTCTGAGTAGCGGGGGCTGTCAACCACGCTGCCAGCGTTCCACCAGAGTTCCATCCAGCCGTAGGTGTTATCGGAGGCTGAAACGGCGGGTAAAGAGCATTCAGGCGCGCCGCGCCGTCTCCTCCATCATTCCTGCTCTGCTCGGTACCTGAATGATCACGCTACCGTATGACGGGATCGCAGCCATCGGCATTCCCACTGGCGTCGAAGCTGGCGGAGGTAGCGCCACCCTGGAAGCTATTGGACCCTGATACCCGACCATCGGCGTGCTAACCAGTCGCGTCTGACTGCCTAAGGCGTTCCCTGTAGCCGCCGGCTCTGGGCGCGACAAAGGTCTCGCCCCTTCGGATCGTGGCGTCCTCGTTGGCGTTTCAGCCGAGACTGACAGTCTCTGGAGTGCCCGACTGAACGTGTCGACCAGCATTTCTTGCAACGCAGAGTCTGTCGTCGGCGTTCCGGCCCTCCTTGTCGGCATCTCCACCGCCTGAACTGGCGTCATTCCTTGCCTTCTAGGCGTGCCACGCTCCGGGAACGGCATTCCAGCAACACTATGGCGTTCCTCCACACCCGGAGAAGGGTGCCTCGTCGTCTTTCAAGTGTCGAACGCCGCACTGGCTGGCGTTACTGTCGGTACCTCGCCTCGCGTCTCACTCACAAGAGGTAGCGACTGCCTCGACGCATCGAAGGGGAACGCGTCTCCTGGCCGAGCTCTCGGGGTCGACATCACGGCTTCCGCGGTCTCACGAGCCGTCGTCCTCGCCGGAGTCGGCTCTTCACTCGGCGCTGGTTGGCGTGCCAGCCGCGCGAGGAACTGGCTGAACATTTCTCGGCCCCGGGGCGTGTCCAACACCGACCCGGCCATCCTTCTCGCTCTTGGAGACAGAGGTTTAGACCCGAGCGCCCCCTCTCCGTCCATTCGATCCTCGTGACTCTCGGTCCAAGGTTCGGTTCTTCTCGGCGTTCCTCGTTCCGAGCCACCGTTCGAACCGCCCCCAGTCGAAGTTCTTCCGCGCACGTCACCCCCGACGGACCCTCCCGCGTGCTCGTCATCCTCATCTTCGCGGATCTCAGCAGGAGATGGCGTCTCCGTCTCAAGCGGGGGAGCCCACCTACTGAGCCTCTCACCCGCTTCCTC